CCACCATCAGATGCTGCAATTATAAGCCACAGAAGGGTAAATGTGGGCTAGGTGAGTGCGACTTGCAAAACCAACACTGGGGCAGAAAAAAACAACTCCAAGTATGTTCTCTGTGGAGTTGGAAGGTAAGACAGAAACATCATCTTTCTGGGGGGAAAAAAGATACCAAAACTGTTATCAGAAGTGTGAGGCTGAAATGAAAGGAAGGTACTGGTGTGTGTGTTTGTGAGAAGGAGAGAGACAGACAGACACAGAGAGACAAGGACAGACAGAGATAGAGAGAGGTCATGTAGACTTTTGTTTGTTAGTTTGTTATGAAAACACTAGATAGTGGTTCTTTCCTCTAGATCAGATCAGGGATGAAAGTATTGATTCTTTTCGGCAGGCTGAGCCTGAGAATGCCCTCCATACCCTCTCCCTTGTAAGGGAGACTGCCGCTGCTCAGGTGGCCTGTGTGGTCCTCATTCCTCAGCCCCAACCACGCCTGACCCCAGCCGTCCAGTCCTTAACCTGGCCTGGAAAAGGAGCTCATCCCCTGAGGGGGAAGATGCCTCGGACCAGTCAGCTTCCTATTCTCTGAGGTCTAAGTGATCTGAACATTAGTTGGCCAATTAATTTCTTTCTATTTATAGTAGAGACAGGGTCTCGCTCTTGCTCACGCTGGTTTTGAACTCCTGACCTTGAGCAATCCGCCCGCCTTGGCCTCCCAGAGTGCTAGGATTACAGGCGTGAGCCACCACGCCCGGCCTCATGCTGCATTTTTGAAGCAACTTGTTTAGGTCTCTAGTTTCCTGCACCTAAATTGCTTAAAGAGAAAGTTTTGAAGGCTTTATCGGACAGGAAACCGCATAGCAAAGGCGACATTGTTTATGAAATGGTGTCTCATTGGAAAAGTCTGCAGGAGTGTGTGTGTTCAGAGGGTATAGAGCCAGAGGTGTTCCTCCTCCTTCTCGTCCCCCACTCTTGTCTCCTTCCTCTCCTCCTCTTCCTCCTTCTCCTCTTCCTCCTCTTCCTCCTCTTCCTTCTCTTCCTTCTCCTCCCCTCACCCTTGTCTCCTTCCTCTTCTTCTTCCCTCTTATTCTCCTCTTTCTCTTCCTTCTCCTCCTCTTCCTCCTTAGCTATAACAGTAATTTCAAACAGTAATTTTAACAGTAATTTTAAACTTTTTATTTTAAAATCATTTCAACATTACAGAAAGTTTCTTAATTTATTAGAGTGTAGTTGTTAATAATAGTCTCTAATGATCCTTTATATTTTTGTGGTAATAGTTATGAAGTCTACTTTTTCATTTCTGATTTTATTTATTTGGGTCTTTTCTCTTTTTTTTCTTAGTCTAACTAATGGTTTGCCAATTTTATTTATCTTTTTTAAAAAGCCAGCTTTTTGATTCATTACTCTTTTGTGTTGTTTTTTGGTCTCAATTTCACTTATTTCTGCTCTGATCTTTATTATTTCGTTCCTTCTACTAGTTTTGGGCTTGGTGTTTTCTTGTTTTTCCTTGAGATGTATCATTAGGTTGTTTATTGGAAATCTCTCTATTGTTTGATGTAGACATTTATTGCTATACACTTGCCTTTTAATCCTGCTTTTGTGATATCTCACAAGTTTTGGTAGGTTATGGTCCTATTTTCATTTATTTCAAGAAATTTTTACATTTCCTTCATAATTTCTTTCTTTATTCATTTGTCATTCAGGAGCAAATTGTTTAATTATCATGTGTTTGTATAGCTTCAAATGTCCCTTTTGTTGATTTCTAGTTTTATTCCATTGTAATCAGAAAAATACTTGTTATGATTTTGATTTTTAAATTCTTTTTTGAGATTTATTTTGTATCCTAACATATGGTCAATCCTGGAGAATGTTCCATGTGCCAATGAAAAGAATGTTCATTCTAACGCTATTGAGTGAAATTTCCTATAAATGTCTGTTAGATGTATTTGGTCTATAGTACAGTTTAAATCCAATTTTTGTTTGTTAATTTTCTATATGATCTGTCCAATGCTGAGAGTGTTGTGTTCAAGTTCCCAACTATTATTATATTAGGGTCTATCTCTCCCACTAGATCTAATAATATTTGCTTTATGTATTTAGATACTCTAGTGTTAGATGCATATGTATTTTTAGTTGTTATGTCTTTTTGCTGAATTGATCCCTTTACTATTATATAATCTCCTTCTTTGTCTTTATAGCTTTTGACTTAAAGTCTGTTTTATCTGATACAAGCATGGCTAGTCTTGCATCCTTTTGATTTCCATTTTCATGGAATATCTGTTTCTATTCCTTCAGTTTCAGTCTATGCATGTCTTTACAGGTGAGGCGAGTTTCTTATAGGGAGTATATAGTTGGGTCTTGTTTTTATCCATTCAGCCAGTTTATCTCTTTTAATTGGGAGATTTTAATTCATTTACATTCAAAGTTAATATTGGTAGGTGGAGGCTTACACCTGTCATTTTACGGATTGTTTTCTGGTGGTTTTGTTTATCCCTTGTTCTTTACTTCCTCTCATTGTTTATCTTTATAGTTTGGTGGTTTTCAGTAGTGATAAAGTATAATTCCTTTCTCTTTCTTCTTTGTGAGCACTGAATGATTTTTAAGCAGAGCTATAATATAGTCAACTTTACATTTTAGAAAGTTCACTTTTGAAGAATTGTATGGAAAACTGGCTGGAGTTGGAGAAGAGTTGACGTGTATGGCTGTACCATTTAGTAAGCTATCACAATGGTCCAGTTGAGAGGTAATGGTGACCTAAAGTGGGATAGTGGCAGTGGAGCCAGAGATATGTGGAGGTATTAGAGAGACAAGTAGGAGGTGGAGGTAGAACTGACAGGACTTATTACGTTTTGGGAAGTGGTGGAGTAGAATGTGGCCATAAAAACATAAAACACTTGAACCATTCAACTTAATCCCTGTACTGTATGTTTGTGTGTATATGTGTGTGTGTGTGTGTAGTGGGGCTGGGGGAGTGTCCTCAACAATCAGTACTCAGCAGTAAACAATGCTACTTTTATTGATTTCATAATAGTATAGTCTTTGCTCTGCTGAGTTGTAGTTGTCCTGAAAGGAATATGAGGTTATTGAGCTAATAACTTTGTCATACTTACTAATACAATGAAGAGTGTTAGTAGAAATTAGAGCCTATGCCTGATATTCTCTGTTTGCTCCTCCAGATTCACTCACTGTCCCTCTCCACCCTGCTGACTGCCCAAGAGGCCAACCTGCAAGATCTGTGTCAACGGTTCCCAGCCTTATGGCTTCCAGGTGAGTTTGACAATTAGAAACCCTGAAAGGAGACCTGAGAGAAGAAAGAGACCAAGGTCAGGGCATCTGTTCACGCTGGTTTCTACCTGAGAGGCTGCCTTGGGTTGGCCATACTCCTTGACCAAAGGTCTCAGTGCATGTCAAGGTAGCTATTCTATATTTCCCTCTCTACTTTTGAGTTCTGGACACCCCTACTCCTCTCCCTCAGGCTAAGGAGTCGTAAGAGCTCTGTTGCTGGTAGCCCAGGTTCCACCACCACTTCATGTTCAACCTCTCCCTGTCCATACCTTTGTGAGCATACAATATTTGTGTCTGCCTCCCTACCTCAAGTGTCCAACCTTGCTGCTGTGGATAGCTTGCAGAGAAGTGGGTACTCTTGCTGTGGAGTTGTACTCATGCCTGGTTCAGGAGGTGGAGAAGCTGAAGGAATAGGTCCCATGGGAGCAGGAGGATCTGTGGGACCACCTGCTGCCCCACTCCAACAAGGCGACTCAGCAGATTCATGAAAATGTGCATGTACTGCAACAGAGTCTGACCTACATCAATATTGGGAGGAAACATGGCTAGTGCCTCATGCCAATATATAATATCTTGTGGCCAACTATAAATAGAAACATCCTGGGAAAGGAATTTTGAAAAATATAATTCAGCTTAGCCAAGTTGACATATAAAACCACCACAGAAATGCTGTCACTTTGTTTTCCCTAAGTTTCTTCATAATGTTTATAAAGCACCAAACTGAGATGGTGAATTATGGTTAAGAAAATGTTTGGTTTTAATAAAACCTTAGATCTGTGAAGGGAGTGACTGGAGAATGCCAACTCCGGTGAGAAAGCTCATGGGATAACAATTTTTCAAGCCCCAATCAGAGGTGAAGCTGGATTTTGTTATAAGAACAAAAATAGAGGAAAAATTCAATACTTACTTGAAAAATTTTGTCTACCTGCTTGAGGAAGTGGTGGTGAAATTTACCATGTCTTTGGCTACCATGGGAAGTGGAGAAGTGGACTGTGGCCATGAAAACATAAAACACTGAACCATTCAACTTAATCCCTATACTGTGTGTGTGTGTGTGTGTGCACGCGTGTGGCAGGGGGCAGCAGGAATGTTCTCAACAATTAAAAATCAGAAAAAGTCATCCATTAAAAATAAAATCACTGCACAGAATGTGTGAATGTATCCTGTTCGCATGGATTGGGAAACTAAAGCCAAGAAATGAATATGCACACTAAGCCAGAGCCATTGAAACCCCTAGAGTTCTGAACAAAACAACTGAAAGATTTTTATAACTCAAGGCTCATAGTACTCCCATGGAAAAAATAATCCCTACTAAAGATGAATACAATAAAAAAGAAATTGCAAGCCAGAAGAGGAAATCATCCACCATAAAGACAAATCAGCACGCATAGCAAACAGGAAATTAGCACATTAAGAATTTGAGATAACAGGATAAGCTGAAAGAAACTACAAGAAAAGCATATTTATAATAACTTAATTTTAATAAGATTAGAAATTATAATAAAAGAATAGATACTATGAAAAAGACAGAGTTGAGACCCAATCAAGTAGAATTTCTAGAAATAAAAAGTTATTGGAAACAAAAACTCAGTGTATGAATTAAATGGCATGTTAGAAACAGCTGAAACATTGGAAGATTAATGTGAGGAAATAATCTTGAATGCAATATACCAAAATAAATAGACAGAAATATAAATGAGCAGGTAAAAGACATTGAAGACTAAAGAAGAGGTTAACAATTACATATCGCAAAAAATTTAGAGGGAGAGCATAGAGGGAATGGGGGGAACATTAATGAAAAGCCAAGTGCCAAGAACTTTCTAAAAGAAACAATATGGGGGCTCGGTGCGGTGGCTCACACCTGTAATCCTTGCACTTTGGGAGGCCGAGGCCGGTGGATTGCTCAAGGTCAGGAGTTCGAAACCAGCCTGAGCAAGAGCGAGACCCTGTTTCTACTAAAAATAGAAAGAAATTAATTGGCCAAATAAAAAATATATAGAAAAAATTAGCCAGGCATGGTGGTGCATGCCTGTAGTCCCAGCTACTTGGGCAACTGAGCTTGCTTGAGCTCAGGAGTTTGAGGTTGCTGTGAGCTAGCCTGATGCCTCAGCACTCTAGCCCGGGCAACAGAGTGAGACTCTGCCTAAAATCAATCAATCAATCAATAAAAGAAACTGTATGCAGCCTCAATTTGAAGAATTTCTCAAGCATAATAAATAAAGCCAAATCCACACTAAACATATCATGGTGAAATGTCAGAACATTAAAGACAAAGAGGAAATATTAAATGCATCAAGAAGATACACAGGTTAACAAAGGAATATAAATCATACAGAGAACAGACTTGTTATTAACAACAATAGATCCAGAAGATAAATGTCAAAGTGCTGAAATGAAATAGCTATCAGCCTAAAATTCTACTGTTGGCTAAATTTTCATTTTACTTTAAATTTTTATTTAAAAGTGAAATAAAGGCATTTTGTACATAAACACCTATCACATAACAGAATTTTCTCCTGTATTTAAAAATATATTTCTTTCTAAAAATTAGTACTTTCTCATAATATGCTTTATAAATGTTTACTATTACTAATTCAATTATTTGAAAAAATAAAAGCTGAGATAAAAAACTACAACTTTCCAAAGTTAACCAAACAAGCTGAAGATAAAAAGCTTTCGATTGTTACTTTCTAAACCCCAAGATGTAAAAAGATCAGAAAGGTCTTTCTTCTCTTGTCAAAGATACACAACTTGTATTGATCAGTTTTTGTTAGGTTAGGTTGCAGTAACAAATGAATTAAAATCTCAGGGGCTTACAATAATGAAAGATTATTTCTTGCTCATGATACATCTCAGCTAGAGTTGGCTGTAGCTCTCTTCTATATATCTTCTTCATTCTGATTTACAGGCTGAAGATTCATCCTTACCTAGGACGTGCCTTTTTTTTTTTTTTTCTCTCTTTTTAGAGAAGGGGAAAGCTATGGCTGAACCATGCAACAGCTTTTAAAACTTCTTTGAGACATGCTGTAAGTCATCTGCTCACATTCTATTAACCAAAGCAAGACCTTGGTAAAGCCTGATATCAATAGTGAAAAGAAATATATTCCACAGAAAGGTACAAGAAGTCACATGGCTTGGATGTGTAATTTTTTTATAGGGACAGTGTAAATAATTTGGAAAAATACTGCAATCTAGCACATATTGAAAAGATATTTTTCTCATTTATGTTCTTACAAATACTTGTTAGATATCATTTCTTTCCTATCATGTAAAAAACCCTAGCTGTCATGCTCTAAAATTTTTCTGATATTAACCCTCTGAACCTTGGAGTTTTTCTATATCAGCCCTAGTCAGAATCTAATCCAGCAACTACTTGTTAACAATCTGCAGTGAGATAAGAAGATTGTGCCAGAAAGTAAATCAACACACTGCTTCCTTCACCTTGAAAGTCTTACCACAAAAAAACAAAATGATAGCAGAATTGAACAGTGCACTTACTGCTGTAGCTGGTTAACATTTTGGCTTAAGCTCCTTATCTTGTCATAAACTGGTTCTAAATAGTTCGTAGACTGACAGTGGTCAACAAGCCATGCTTTGAGTGGGACTGTTCTGCAGCATTGTGGTTTCACCCATAAGATCACTCAGTTATAGAATTTTAGAGCTGAAAAGTATCTTAGACACCATCCAGTCCAAATCCTGGGTTTCACAGCTGAGGATCCTGAGAAGCTGAAAGTTTTGGAAAATTTCCCAGAGTCAGGTAGTGGTTGAGATACAATATAAAGTAGAGGCCAATTGTCCTGACTCTTTCTTATCACCAGCATGCCCTGAAATTCCTAAAGGAAGATGAACTTCCTTGAGGTTCTTGCTGAGTAGCACTCAGGCTGCATCTGGTGTAGAGATTCAGTAGAAGGAGCCAGGTTGTCTCCTGAATGGGAGTAGGGTATGGAGGATGCACATGGGCTTTCATAACAGACAGATCTGGGTCATGTTCCAGCTCTATCTCTTCCTTGAAGAATGTCTTTGGGGAAATTACTTAAAATCTCAAAGCCTCAGTTTCTTACTTTGTAAACATCCTACTTTGAAGGTTGCTGTAGGATGAGAGATTCTCACCTGAAAACACTAGTGTTCCCTCTTGCAGTAGGCAGAAAAACAGTCCTCCAAAGATGTCTACATCCTAATCTCTGGAACCTGGGAATGTGTTATGTTACATGGCAATGGGGAAACTGAGGTTCCAGACTGAATTGAGGTTGACCTTGAGATGGGAGGATTACCTGGGATCATCTGGGTGGGTCTAGTGTCATCACAAGGTGGCAGGAGAGAAAGAATCAGAGAGGTGGCAGTGGGAAAAAGACTCAGCCTGACGTTGCTGGCTTTGAAGATGGAGGAATGATGCCATGACCCATGGAATGCAGGAAACCTCAAGAAGCTGGAAAAGGCGAGAAAACAGAGTCTCCTCTAGAGTCTCTGCAAACTGGAACACATCTATGCTGACACGTTAACTTTAAGCCAGTGAGACCCATTTCAGACTTCAGACCTCCAGAACTGGGTGATAATGTGTTTTAAGGCAGCAGTCCCCCACCTTTTGGGCACCAGGGACTGGTCTCATGGAAGACAAATTTTCCACGGACCAGCGTGGGGGGATGGTTTCGGGATGATTCAAGTGCATGACATTTATTGTGCAGTCAGACCTCTCTGCTAATGATAGTCTGTATTTGCAGCCGCTCCCCAGTGCTAGCATCACCGCCTCAGCTCCACCTCGGATCATCAGGCATTAGATTCTCATAAGGAGCGTGCAACCTGAATCCCTTGCATGCAGTTTTACACTAGGGTTCACACACCTGTGAGAATCTAATGCAGCTGCTGAGGAGGCAGGAGGCAGAGCTTATGCAGTTCCAGCGATGGGGAGTGGCTGTAAATGCAGGGAAGCTTTGCTGGCCCACCTGCTGCTCACCTCCTGCCGATTGGTCTAGTTCCTAACAGGCCCCAGACTGCTACTGGTTGGGGGTTGGGGACCACAGTTTTAAGGCACTGATTTATGGTGCCTTATAGCAGCAATACAAAAAAAATATATCTTTCATTTGAACATTGTTACAGCTTCCCTAGAGCAGCTGTTGCATCATCTTTTGGAAGATACAGTTTTTTGAGGCCACATTTTGTAGTGGTAATCTTTGGCAGAATCTGCTCTAATACAAGCTAGCCAAAACAGGAAAGCTGCTTCTCAGTTCTTTTTAGCTCTTTTGGTCATAGCTGGTCAAATACAATGGTTTGCATTTGGGGGGCATTGCACTTGGGAATTTAAATGGACTCCAAAATAGCTGGTAATCTGATTTTTTTCCCCTCGCCTGATCTTTGATTAGACTATGCTTAGAGCTACAGTCTTTCCAAAGAGCACTGCCCTCTTGCACTGTGTCAGACACTATTTGCCAGCAAAGCATTAAGAAAGAGGCAACAATGAGGTTCTGTGGTGCCTGGCAGTGGTGGCAGACAGTTCGTGGTCTCTGCACCTTGCAACACTCATCATCCTGTTTGTCGCAACTCTTTGATGCACCATGAAAAGCTTTGCAGCAGGAATGGGCTCCTCTGTTTGTTTGATCTACTTCCTTATATCTGAGCACAGGTATTGGGATTTGAATGTCTGGTGGCCACATATTCACTAAGCTGCATAAGATACAGACACAGTAATGTGACTATCACCAGTGATGAGTTTGTAAGAAGAGGAGAAAAAGCACAGAGTGAGGCTCAAACTGTAGTTTTGACACATACATACCCTCGTGCTCCCCGTCTCAGGGACCTGTCGCCCTCAGCTTCTCTTGGTGGTGCCGCCGTGGGCGCTGTGGCTCTAGCTGCGCAAAAGAGGAACACAGCAACATTCTTCCGGGTTCTGCAGAGTAAAGAAGTTGTTCTTCTGTCTGGAACAGGCCACAGGAGTGTGGGAGAGCTGATACTTCCAGCTTTTCCCTTTTCTAAATTTTTCTTTCCTTCTAAAAATAAAATGGCTAAGGCCAGTTCCAGGTAAAACAGTAAGGCATTTAGTCCTATTTATTTAGCACTTATGCCATGCTTACTTCCTACAAAATTCAGAAGGACTGCAAAATTAAAGCATTAGAAAATGGGGAATTTAAAATAAAGACAATTAAAATAACTGCAATCACGTGCCATTTTCCCATATTGAGTTATTAAATATTTTAAAAGACAGCCTTCAGCGGTTTGGTGAGTGTGTGGCGGAAAGCCTGCTGGGCATGGGCACTAGTGGGAACACAATGTTTTCAAAAAGCAAACTGGCTTTTTGAGTTGAAAGCCTTAAACCTGTTTATATTTGTGATCATGAAATTGTATTGTTCAGAATCCACCCTTTCTTAACTCAATTTGCTTTAATTTCTTCACTTGTAAAACAGAGATGTTGCTAAGAGCCCTTTCATAAAGCGGCATGAGAATTAGATCATGGATAACTGGCACGCAGTGTATGCTCCACAATTGTCAGACATCATTATTAATGAAAAAATAGAGATCTTTTCAAGCAAAAATTAGTACAACATTGTGGCATAGAAATTTAGAGCATTGATAGCTCCATGTGCTGGAGTGAACCTAAAAACCATTTTAGAAAGGGAGTTTGGCTGGCTTGGGAGCCTTCCACCCACCCACTTCCCAATCAGTTCTTGAATCAGTCTCTTATGATGTCTGAAAGTTATGTAAATTGGAGGTCACAATTTAATCCAGAGATATGGTCATAATAAAAGTTAAGGACATCTTTGACATAAGAAAACTACACGTGTTATTTTTATGGATTGCTTTGGGGGCAAACTTAATGTTCTCCTGAAGGAACATTCCAGGGAACATTCCGTTACCTGGAATTGTGTGTTTAGTGTGGGCTTATCATTCTTTCCCACTGAGCTGTGTTGTAGGACTAGCATCTGGTTCTATCTGAAGGTTTTCAAAGGGCCTTTTTTTTTATTTTTTGAGAGAGAGTCTCACTTTGTTTCCCGGGTTAGAGTGAGTGCCGTGGCGTCAGCCTAGCTCACAGCAACCTCCAACTCCTGGGCTCAAGTGATCCTACTGCCTCAGCCTCCCGAGTAGCTGGGACTACAGGCATGCACCACCATGCCGGGATAAGTTTTTGTATATATATTTTTAGTTGGCCAATTAATTTCTTTCTATTTTTTAGTAGAGATGGGGTCTCACTCAGGCTGGTTTCGAACTCCTGACCTCGAGCAATCCGCTCACCTAGGCCCTCCCAGAGTGCTAGGATTATAGGCGTGAGCTACCACACCCAGCTTCAAAGGGCTTTAAAGATGGATACTTCTCGGTGTTTAAGGAAGGGGGATCCAGATTGTTTGGGGCTGGTCACTTTCAGGCTGTGGTTTAGATGCTCGACTCAAGGTCCGTTGAGAATGAGGAGAGAATCCAGCTACCTGGGAAGGGTATGAAGTGAGTGTGCAACGGGTACCCACAGAGCATAGAGAGGAGGGAGATGCAGTGGTAGTTATGGGATGGAGACCCAGTTACCTGGGACCTGAGCAAGAGGGAATTGTCAAAATACAGAAGGAGGCTGTCAGTGCCGTGAAGGAGTCAGGAGAAGGGTGGTTGGGAGGGGTAGACTCGTAGGTGGCCTAGTGCAGGGTCCCTCTCATGTGCCCGGGAGCTGCCTTGAATGGTGTCTTCCTTGCTAACCACCCAGCCTCATGCATGTGGAAAGCTCCCTCCCTCCTCCTCCATGCTATATGCAGGATGAACATGGGCTCCACCCAACCCTGTCCTCACCAGCTAACTGACTATCAGGGGTGACTCCGAGCAGTGCCACAAAGCTTGCTTCTGTCCAGCTGCCCTGTGCAGAAAACAGAACACTCCCCAGGATACCTCTAAACCCAAAGGGGCCCTGGGGCTTAGTATCGTCAGAGGAGCCCCTGTCCTGTGCTTGTGGCAGGGTCCTGTTAAACCGAGC